GTTTAATTAAATAATTTAAAATATATATGATATTTAAGGATAATTTTAATTTTATAATAAAGTGGGTAAAATCATGAAAAACATGATATATTATATGTATTTTTTTTAGATTTTAAAATATATTTAAATTCTTTTTTATTCCTTTTTTAAAATGGTAAAAAGATTCGTTCTCTCGATCGAGGCATCCAAATTTAGTGAAAATTTAAACTTAAGTCAACATCATGAACGGGAAAGCATGGGGTAGTGTTTGGAAGCTCTAAAAAGCGCTTATTAAAAAGTTATATCTAAGTGTACTGACATAGATCTAAGATTTTTAAGAAGTCTAATCGTTCGATTTTCGGGATCTTTACATAGTTGAGCTTGTAGATTATCCTCATATGTTTCTCTAGTTGAACTCGAGCTCCAATTCACCTTGGATCTAACGGTAGAAGCTTTGGAAGGGAAATAGGCACTAGTCGCTGGAGATCTCGCCGCTGGCGAGGTTTTAGTGGCAAATTTGAGTGGAGGAAGGTCGGGAGATGTTGGAAGAGCTCTCACACAAAGAAATTTGGGTTGAGAGTGGCTAGGCAAAAGAATCCAAATTCAGACCCCTCATGAAACCCTAAAAAAGTATTTTAAAGGATTAATGCCTTAAATCCACGGTTAGGATTCATCCTAAGACTAATTAGGAGAGAATTGAGGAGATTTAGCCGTCGGTTTCATTTCCTGATTTAGGAATAAATTTAAGCTCATGAGAAGGAAAAAAAATTAAATTAAGCATATTAAACTAAAATCAAGCTCAAAATCAGATCTGATTCGGGTCAATTTGAGATTCAATTTAATTTGCTCAAATGAACCCAATTAAATTTAAATAAAATGATGACTTAAATCATAACAAACTCGACACGGCTAAGGTGGACTAATCGGGCTTAAACGAATACAGTCAAGTCTAATTTGACTCAATACAAGCTGATTCGAGCTCGGTGGTGTAAACGAGTAGAGTCGAGCTCGAGTTAGGGGGTGTTCGAGCTCGACTCGCAACTCAAAAACCCAGCTTGAACTTGAGCTCAAAAGTTGAGCTCGAACTCGACTCGCGACACTATATCGAGCTTATCGAGCCGCTCGCGAGCCACTCATTTTCGTTCGTCCTGCCTGCTTTTGATTTTACCGCCTGTTTCAAATTTTTTTTTTAAATCCACCCGTTTCACAGGTGGAGCAGTGGAGCGGACACAAAAATCGAGCAAAGCATTGTTGGCGTGAGCTGAAAAGCCTTCAGCATTTATTAGAAAAGGAAAAAGCTATTTTTCTTGACAGCTTTTAGATTATTTATATATTTTTTGAAAAATAATTTATTATTTTATAACTCTAAAAGCTGCTTTGTATTTATTGATTTTGATGTTTTAAAATATTTTTATTAAGCATATTTGATTTTTTTTTATTTTTTAAATGTAAATATTTTTTTTGTGCAATGAGATTTTTAATATCACGTATATAGTTAATATATTAAACATGTTCTAGCAGAAATCGAGTGATTTGATGATTGAGTCATTTATGTGAAGGAAGAAAATAAACTAATTAACTACCAAAGTTTTATCATTTTTAATATTGATTATATTAGTCATAAGCCTGGATGTAAAAAGTTGAAGGAAAAAAAAAAAAATAGACCCCCTAGATATATTTTCTGGCTCCGCCACTGTTAAGAGTCGTTACTTTTTACCTGAAGGTATAATCATTCATTAATTATAGGCTACAATCGAGATAATATAATAAATTATTTTTAAAAGGAAAGCCCGTCGACACGCACTCATGCGCAGAGTATTATATTTTAAAAGTCATCGCATATTAATTTATAGTGTTTACAGTGAGTCTTCCTTACTTTCATGAAATATATCTTAATGTATAAAATACAACATATAATGCTTAGTTATCCTGGAAATGCAATAATATTATAGTTAAAAATATTCATAAAATATAGCTTTATCATATACAAAAAGTTATACGATAAAATTGCGATAAAACAAGAAAAAAAGTCTTTTTATCAATTTATGAGAGAGTAAATCTACCATACTTAAAATTATTAAAAATTAAAATGGGATTTGGGTTACTTACAATGATTAGAAGAAATCTCATAACTAAATCAATAGATAAAAATGCATTGAATGCTTTCTTTCTCCTCTCTCTCTTCCTTCATCTCCCTCTCCCATTCTTCCTTCCTGAAGAAGTTACTGCAACAGGGGAGGAGGTGGCAGCTTAATCCTAGAATAGGTGGGCTTCCAATGATGGTCGATTGCAGCATGTAGGAGGCAACAAGTACCTAGGGATAGGAGGAGGGAGAAATTTTTAAATGGAGCAGAATTCATAAATGTTTTAAGGATATGAGCAGGAAAATAAAAAAATTTAAAAAGGAACATAAAAGCGAAGAAGGATCCCGTTTTCTATAGAAAACACAAAGCAGGATTTCATTTTATATAGAAAATGCGATGGAGCTTCACGTTTTCCATGTAAAACACAAGGCTACTGCGCATTTTTTTTGTAGAAAATGAGACCACACTTTGAAAATTTCTTTATTGCCAGGCCCCTACACCCAAGAAATCTAGCAAAAAATGTGAACGAGGCTTGGATTTTCTTCGCTGCTGGACCCGCCTACCCGAGAAATCAGGGGAAATTGTTCATGGGAATTGCTACCTGTGAATCCATTGCTTCGTCCGTGAAGCACTCAACGGAAAGGGAAGAATACAATTTTTAATCCTTTTTTCTGCCTATAAATAGCAAGGAAATAGAGAATAGAATGCTTGGTTGTTAGTTGTTAAGTTCAAGGGAACAGGTGAGTAAATTAAGGTTAGTATTTATAGTTATTTTTAAGATCATTTAATATTCAAGTAACAATAATTTTTGCACTAAAGAAATTGTAGCAATTTTTTTTTATAAGTATGTGCATATTGCATGTTGCATTTTTTTTAGAAATATTGTTGAAATTTCGCTATTAAAATATTGTTGAAATGTTGACATGAGAAAATTTGGCGATATTGTTGAAGCAAATAACATTGTTAGAATTGAAAT